CTCAACTTGTGATCAAGAGAAATGAAAGATGAGGGAAACAAAATAAAATGTTTCTTTTCTATCAAGCTATTTCTCATATGCAGCTCTAATATAAAGGAAATATTCCAATAAAGGAAAATTTCAAGCTAGCCTAAGGAAGAACATGGTAACTCTAGAGAAAAATCTCCCTTTGGAAAGAGGTGGTGCAATTTGAGAACAAACCAGGGGACAAAAAAATGCCTTTCTTGCTTGCTGGAGAGAAAGGAACTGTGATTTTAAGATATGTACCATGTAGTAAATCTCTCATTGCCCACAGCCAAATTTTCATGCATATTTTGTGTGGTGCTGGGCAGATGTATATTAAGCAAGACTGAGGCACAAAAACTGTAATTTGTGCTGGAAGCTCACTGTTGCATGGAGCAACAAAAGGCTCAGGTGGGATATACTGGGAATTTGTGGAACATCACTTCAAGAGAGGCCATATGCAGAAAATACTCTGTTTCGGAAATCTTGATCTTTCCTCTTGATCTTTTAGAAATAAAAAAAGAAACTTTTATAAAATGACTCTTGCCTATGAATTATGAGTCATTCTGCTTTTCAATAGGGAATCAACCTGCCAAGGGACCTTCTTCAAGGTTTTGAGTGCCTGAAAAAACCTACATTTTTCAAGGTTTTCTACTACTTAGAAAGGAAGTGAGGAAGGAGATGAAAACAGAGAAGTGAAACCTTGATTTAGCTGACTGGAAGACAGTGTCACCTAGGGAAATGTGAAGCAAATTATACAGCACAACTTGATTGATATGAAATTGGTTTATGTCAATTTTTTGCTAACAACCCCACCTTGCAATCCTGCCTCTTCCAAAACCCCAAATCTGGATTTGTGCATAACTTGACTTCAATGTGTACATCTTATGCCAGGCTTCACACACATGAATTTGAGAAGCAGCAGGAAGCACCACAGCACAGAGGACCCCATCTCCATCTCTCACCATCTCATTACATTACAGTAAATAACTCAAATAATCTTCTGTGTTCACACTAAAAACTGCACTCATTTTCTCAGCTGACTTTTTCTTCTGAGCTCTGATGCAGTGTCCAAAGTTACTGCCATGACAGTGGATACTAATTTAAGCCCCAAATGGAATTATTCCCAAGCAGTGATTTTCAATTCATGGGCAGAGGGTGCCAGTTGGATGAAAAAGCAAGATCACAGCTCAGGTCTTTGGTATTCCAACAGAAATGATCCTAAGCTGTATCAATCATGCATAAAGGTGAAACCCCATATGTAATACCTTAATGGAGTGAGGGAGACATTATTATGGACATTGATGCTGCTGGAAATCTTTCCTGATGCCCACTCCAGCACCATATTCCCACTTACCATGCACACACTACTGTGAAATGAGGGCAGAGATGCAAGGAAGATGCACTGAGACAAGGGCAGGGTACTGGAGAAGTGTGATTGTCTTCCACAGTTCACATCCCACATGTTTTTGGGGTACTTCATGAGGTAGAAGTCAGCAGGCTGCTCTAATTTGGAGACTCCCTGTCCTGAGGTACACCTTTTCTACCTGACACCACAACTTGGCTGTGCACATTCCTCAGGAAAAACTGCCATCTGTCTGTTTGCTGCCACACTTCAGACACAGCAGAGCTGCACCCATTGATATGAATTCTTTTTCTGGCGTGATAACATTAAGGCTATGTGTAATCAATTTAAATTCCTCCCCCAGAAACTGCATGCTGTCTCCAAAACCAATAACCACCCAAGGCCAAGGGCAGCATTCCTGCATGTTCTTACAGATGCTAAGTGCCTTCAAGCGTGTTATATGAATAAATCATACTAAGCTATGCTACATGCTAAGGTGTGCAACAAACCAGGGCAATTTGCTGCAGGAGAGAGATGCTCATTAAATGCAATTAATAAGCACTACCTGTGCACTGAAGGGCAGAGGAGCTAATTACTGGAAGACACAGTGTACAAATAATGTTTACAGTTATGAAACCACGGCATTCCCATGCAAAATCTCAAAGAGGGGGGTAGGGAATTACATAAATCAGAATGACCCAAGCCAAGCCATAGTTACAGACACAGCAATCCTAAAATTAATGAACCCCACCACTGTCCTCACTGTGGTTACTGGGCCCCTCTATTAGCCAGATTTATGAAGCACCCTAGGATAGGGCCAGCAACTTCCTTTGAATAGCATTCACCTTGGCATTCCAGGGAGCCTGTGTGCTGAAGCTCACAAGCACAGGGCTGGCACCAGGCTGCCAGTGGGAAGCCTCTGATTGGGCCTTCGGTTATGCATATCAGCTCCCTCACAGTTTACATCCTAATCAGTTTTCTTTTCTTTCAATCACAGTCCTCAAGGTTGGCAAAGGCCTCTAGGATCATTGAAGTCCTCCAGGATTTCCAGAATTCAGCAAGGAAACAGTAAGGAAGGTGGAATTTTACACATAAGCTCTTGTCATCCCTTCAGTTTACTAGAGTAATATTTGTTAAACACTAACAGAGCAAAACACATTTTTCCACATGAAGTGAAAATAGCAAACGAAAATGTTTATCAGTCTCACATAATGACAGAGCAATGGTATTTGAAAGTATGGTATTTCAAGAGAAAAAAACTTTCCTTGTTTATCATCAATGGCTGCAATTATGTTGTCAAGAGACACATGAGTGTTTTGATTTCCTCTTCCTGCTGTCTTTTTACTTTCAACTTACATTGTAAGCTTGACACTGTTTATTCACGTACTATTAGAGAACCACTGAGAGGGGTTATTATTGAAGAGTATTTATTTTTCAAAGCAGTCACACCATGAAGCCACAGATACAGCTAAAGCTTAACCCTACATCCTCCCCCAGAGCAGCATGCTCCTGATGTTAAAAACACCCCACTACCCCAACAAACACAACAGCATAAGGAGAGGGTTAACGAGCTCCTGGACATGCAAACCCCAGATCAGTGCCTTGCCCACAGCACAAGGGCACAGAATTAACTCCTAGAGTGACTCCAGAAAAAGGCCACAAAGGTGATCAGGTGGTGGAACACCTCTCCTGTGAAGACAGGCTGAGAGAGCTGGGGTTGCTCAGCCTGGAGAGGAGAAGTCTTTGGGGAGACCTTGCAGCAACCTTCTCCAGTTATAGCACTGGCAGCAGAGCTTGCCAGCAATTACTTCCTTGGGCACCATAACAGCTCCCAGCTTTGGGTAGGATGTTGTCCTACAGGATTCAGAGCTCTGGTAACATGTTCAGTTATTTCTCCTTAAATAACTACAGGTAATATGGAATAAGAACCTATTTTTGTTGCTGTTACTGCTTGCCTGAGAAAATGTTACCTGTTGGCTCTAAACTGTCATTACTCAGACACAGCAACAAAACACACAGATACATCTACTTGCAACAGAGCCCTTGGTCTACCTTTTCAAAAAAATTAACACATCCTTTTGCATGAGAAACTGTTGGCTCATCTGAGACACGAGGACTTGTTATTTGCCTAATTTTGTCTTCTATTTGAAGCTTAAAAGCACATCTCCATTAGCCACAACCTTTGGCCACAATGAATAAATATTCAGCTTCAACACCTTTGATAATGTCTAAAAATAGTTCATTAAACATCCTTAACCTTTTCTAAGAACAAACTTGTAGGTGGGCTTAAAGCATTTGCTGTCATTACACTTATGAACAATTTTGCTCCATGAAATAAATTCAGCCTGGCTTTCTCAACTCAAAGTCCCCTCTCTACTCAGAAGAGCAGAAAAAGAGATGAAAACAATAAGGAAAATTAAAACACCACAAGCCTTCCAATGCCTGATGCAAGAATGGGTCAAATGGAGTTTTATGTTTGAGTTGCACTACTCTGAGCTCACATCAGCAGATCTCAACCATCTCACTCTGCTTCTGCTCTACAGAAAATACTTTGGGACATCAGCCTGCAGTTGAGCTATGCAAGTTCTTGTCTTTGATGTTCAAGCACTCTTGATAAAGATGGAAAAGGTTTCACCTGCACATCTCAGTAAAAACGGGACCTGAATAAGCAGCACCACAAAAAATCATACAGCTCTACACACCCAGCACACATTTCAAAATCAAAACTGCAGAGATTACTCTGACAGAATACTGGTTTCAACAGACACTTTAACACTGAACAAATGGAAGGCAACATTAACTTAATTAACAATAATTAAGTATTGTCTGAATGGCTGCAGTCATTCTCTGGAGCAACAAGACCAGATCATTGGAATTTCACTTTTTATGCCAGAAAGGGAAAAGTTCTCTTACCAAAGAAACAGGAATTGAAGTACTTTGGTGATTTTCCCCACACTGAAATATTATCTGATGAAAAAAGAGTTCACCTTAATGTACTACCATAAACCCGTGGCTTCCTTTGAGCTCATAGCTTGTGATGAAGCTGCAAAGATGAGCAGAGAGCACTGCCAGGGTATTAATGGTAACACTGTATGCAAATTCTTGAACTACTGCAGGGCTTGTGAGTAAAGTGCTCAGATGGCACTGACACTTATGAAGGTACTTCTGTACATGAGAAGATTTACAGAATCCAAAAGATCAAACTTATAAATGGTAAATAATGCAAAATGAAAAGGAGAAGGGGCATGATCCCAGCTTCTATTGAAAGGTGGGATAGAAGAGAAAAATGAGCACTATCATAAAGACAAATGCCTCACATTTGGCCTCTTTCCTTGGAAATAGCTCTCTTGTAACAGCATAAGAATCCAATACAAATGCCATGGTAGATGCACAGAGACTTCTCCAGAGAGCATTCAAGGGACCCTCAGTGAAGTTCAGAACAAGAGGTTAGCAAAGGTGACAAACAGGTGGTCTCTGCAGTCCTAGTGCTGCTTTGTTACTGAATGTTTCCCACCCAAACACTCCCTCACCCTACACATGGCCACCATCACCCTCCCTCCAGAAAATCTGTTGGGTATCTGCTACATTAAACAACACAAAGGCAAAAGAAGAGAAAGAGATCTGGATGAAAAAAGGAAGCAAAACAAGCTCATTCTGCAAAACAATGCTCACACATTTTCTTGTTTTATTTTGGATAATTCTTCACGGATCCTCCCCACCTCAGATGCCAAGGCAGATTTGGAACCTTTTTCTGATTTGATCAGAGTTGCCCAGTATACTTTACATAAAAGAGAAGCAGAATTTGTTCACATCCAGAAAATGAACTGGAACCATCTTCAAAACAACAGTTTTTCAGGATTGTGTAGGTTTTCACAGCCTGGGACAGAGCACAAAAGGTCACTGAAGAGACACAGTTTGGTGTGCTTCACAACCTGTCCCTCAGACCAACCTGTTGCTTTAAGTACAGGTTTGAGACTGACAGTGGGAAATCTGATTACCTGACCAAAATGGCAGTACCTGAAGTGTTTAAGTCAGTTGGCCAGACTGCAGTTCATAGGTTTACTTTTATAGAGCCTTGCAATGTACATGAAAATAACAAAACTGTGTTTTCAAAGATGTGAGGAACATTATGCGAATGTGACAGATGGATCTGTGAACTGGAAAATCTCCTTGTCAAAAAGGTCTTCTGGCAGTTCTTCATCTCCATCAGCAAAAAATGTAGGGAATGGAGGGTTTTTATTGCAGTCCTTGTAAGTAGGCAATTTGCTATCTCTGACCTGAAAAGCAGGAAGGGGGAGAGTAGGGTTAATAGATCTTACAGAAGATTTTTAGACAGTGATACACTAGAATTTAAAGAACTCAGCTTACATGCATAAGAAAAACCCAACAGCCTTCACATTCCACTTGTTTAAAGAATTCCAGGTAAAATCATCAGTTACTTTAACATCAACCCCAGATACTGAATTTAACATTTTGTACTCATTATTAAAAGATTTTCAAAATCAGCAAAACTAAGCAGACGAACAAAAAATCATAAGAGAATCTGTCATTACAGTGAATCAAAACAGACTCATTGAATTCATATTCATAATATGAATGCATTGCTCAGTATTTTACAATGTTATTAAAATAGAAGTATAGCTTGTTTAAACAGTGCTTATTTCTCACAGTATGTTCCTACATTCCAAGTTCTATTATGCAGTGTAACCATCTCTTCAACAAACAAGACACGCGTTTGTATGTGTGATGCAAACTAATTACGGCAACTAATTTTGCAAAGATATGTACATGTGCTGTACTGAATCCCTTTGGCTATTGCAGAGCTGCTCAGTGACTGCAGAGTTAAACATCTAAAATTCTCCACTCAGGAATCAGTACCTAAGTTTGTTGAACATGTGCCTCTAAGACAGCTTATTTGCTAGAAGAGTGGTGCCACAGAGAAATTCCTTTACTGACCTCTCTACATGTGGAAAGATTTAAAATCTAGCCCCTGAAAATCCAATCTCTGAAGAAAATTAGTAGCTAGAATTATCAGCAAAAAGCAGTTTGTCTGCAGTAGCAGATAGAAGGCTGGTATCTCTGAATAAAAAAAAAAAAAGAGTTACAAATTCTTAAATTTGATTTAAAATTAAATTCTTCTTTTTTATATTGTTACATATCATCTTTCTCCTGCGTTGTAATAATTCCCTTCAGGCACTATACTCAAGTGGATTTAAAAAAAAAGTGCAAATAGATTAGACAAAATTTTAGTAAAAAGAAGATAGGCTCTTACTCTTAGTTTTTGGTGGGGTTTTAAAGAACAGGATGTTTGTTCTTACTTGGCTAGACAAAGACCTCACATAGGACAGTTCTGATTTATGCCAAAAATTAAATTCAAAAAATTTTATGCCCACTTAATGCTCTCTTCTGACAGCACTGTATTTACCAAATTCATATCTACTATTACTTGAACCTTTTCCAAAATCCATGAGGACTCCTGCAGATAGCACATACAATAAATTTGACGTTCCAATATATTTTTTAGGGCAAGCTTGATAAACAGAAGAAAGCCTTTTGCTAAGAATGAGGGGATGAGGAGTTCAATGTGTTGCTCTGGTTAGGATGGCTAAGTAGCTTTTCAAGTAGAACATTGCTCTTCTGTAGAAGAGTTCTCTATGGCCTTGTGAACTGCCAGACCTGTAGTTCCCAATTTACACTGCACATCTAGCTGGACTGAGGTCCAAGTCCACGGACTTTTGCTGCAACAGTGAGTGAGAAGAAACAGTCAGAGCTTCAGCAGTGTCACCTGAAGGATGGCATCTTCAGGGATGTCATCCCTCCCTTTCAATACACTGTGTCTGCTTCTTTTGCTACATGAAACCCTATTTTAACTGCTTCACTGGTTATCTATTATTTCCCTCGCTAATTTCTCCTTTACTCTCTAATCCTATTACACACCAAAAGCTTTCTCTGCCAACAGCAAAACCCCTCATGATCCCTTCATGAGTCAGTAGTCCTCTTGATTAATACCTGGGTCTCTGGTGGCTGGGTTTTCCACAATTTTCTTTTTTATCTTAGTTTACTTTCCTCACAGTACCAGAAAAATTAAATCATTTCTTCTAATCTATGATAACTTACTCATTTCATGTATATCTTATTTAAATGTTTTCATGTCTACTTTTTGTTATTTTTGATTATTTTCATCAAGAAATAGTATGTGCTGTTACATATAGGTTGTGTCATTGCTCTGGACACCCAGAAAATGAAAGGAATTGAAATGTTTGTTTTCCTCCTATTTTTTTTCCATTACTTCTTAAAACAATTTCTAAAGACAGGATTTGGCAGTAAGACATCTGCTCTTAACTGAAGGAAAATCCAAGAGTCTAACTTCAGTCCTGCATTAGTTTACTTAAATGAATTTAAGATTTCTGTCCAGACTTAACATTGTATGAATTACATAGAAGAGGCATTTTGGACAGAGTATCTCCAGTGTGATATGGAGAATTCTTAAAATAGTTTTAAGATTCTCACGAAGCAGCTCCAACAGACCATTGCTGCACCCAGAGGAGTACAACACTGTTTCATTTTGCCCCTTCCAAACTCCTCAGAAGCTTGACAGATCCCAGAAGCACAGGTCACATCTGATGTTAACATTGTTTTCTTCTGATATGGTAATTTTTTTTATTGGTATAATTGATGCAGTATTTCTTTTGACTGGTGAAACTTCTATGCTTTTCCCATCTTTCTCTACACTCACAGCTTTCAAATGCAATTTAAAGTAAAAAAGTGATATCTTAGAGCATCACTACCAAACTAAATGAAACTCTTTCTCCTTGAAATTAAGGAAGTGAGATAGTATTCTATTATCATGTATTATCCTATTTAAAGGAAGAACTCAACTTCGTTTTACACCTGAAAGTATCGATTAGCAACTAAAACCTGGTTGTTTTATTTGCTAAAAAACATTTATCTGTCTTCTCAAGAGAATTATTTAATTACTCCCTTTACATTTATGAAGGGCCCAGCATCCCAAAGGTTTCAGTAATCTGAGGTAAGAGATACAGGAGCAATAATGTCACAGCAGTATAAAGAGGTTCAGTGGTGTGGAGCAGCAGCAGCTACACTTGTCTGTATAGGCACATTCACAGAAAAGAAGTGCAGGTGACCCAGCACAGCTCTTCCTGCTCTCCTAGTAACCTCCTGAGAACATCTCTCTAATAAAGGAGTAAGTTTTCATGCTGTGTTACTAAAATCCAGTGAATTTGGCTCTCATCTCCGGAAGGAATCAAGCCCATAGTCCAAACTGTTACTGCAATCCATAAAAGTATTTGCTATATGCCTCATACAATAAATGCTGGGCTTACTGAACTGTTATATTAATAGCACTATATATTACAGTAGACTGTACTATAGATAGGTAGATGTTATATACAGATGATGGTATAACCACCACAGTGTATTCTCTGACAGGTCATTTTATCTAGAAAAATACTAGACAAAGCTGAAATTGGAGCTGGTTGGGTCACTAAATCTTTAGAACAGTCATAAAGGGTTTTGCAGACAATTAATAAACTGCACTTATGTATGTGCCCTATATTGACAGTGTAATGGGTAGTGTAAACAAACACAAACTCAGAAATCTATCACCACAAAAGGCTTAATGTGGTCTTAAACGAGTGTTAAAAACTGATGCTTAAATCACAACTCACATTTGTGGTTTAACAGGGCTTCAGGCTGTGTTAGCAACCACAGCAAAGAATGCAAGCTATTTGTGTATAAAAATGTGTTTAAATATAGAAAATTATTAGAAATAAGCTCTCAAGGTGTCTATTTTTAAAGCTAGACATAAAAACTGAATCCAAGAATTATATCCATTTCTTACCAGCCTTATTTTGTCTTAAAAAATAACCCAGCCATACAAATCCCCCCCAAACCTGCACACAACTCTATGAATGAGGCCCAAGGCACAGGACAGAGAACATGAAAGAACTGAAGGCACCACACTATGCCTGCATGTCCTCAACTTGAGCAGAGGGCACCCAATCCAGGCATCAACAACTAGCAACACAGCACAGTAACACTGGGAAGTGTGATACAAAATAAGTAGGATGCAAATCACTACTTCTCTTTAAAAACAAAAAAAAAGAGTCAAACAAGAATAGGGAATGTCAAGACTTAAGTTACTAGCTCAAGTGGAACATCATACTAAAGCAACTTGGATACTTCAATTGGATTCAGGTCTAGCATACAAACAGGTCAGTTCAGTATCAACTTGCAAAGCAACTCCTATGGGCTACAAGATTTGCCAGAATTTCTGCCCTCACTACAAGTGATATATTTAAAGTGATCAACACGGAATATCTTAAGAAAATCAGGTGCCTTAAAATCAGGGCAGGTATAAAATACTATCCTAGACAAAGTATAACATCGTGAATTATAATATACTGTATTACTCTCCACTAAAAGGCATCTAATTAAAAAGGGAGTTAAATCTTGTGCATCTCTCTTGAATGACAAAAGAGAAGTTTTTGATAATACACTTGGGAGAGCAATCCGGAGCCATCACCTTTAGAAAGAGAAAGCTGTTATAGATGGTAACTTCAGGCCCTGGGATCTAAGAAGGTTCCCCAGAAAGAAACAGATGTTTCCTGAGGTAGGCAATTTTGATAGGCCCAACACACAAATTGCACAATTGTTTACTCTGCAATGATATTGTTGTAACAGAAGAACTCTGTGCATTCCAGCACACTCCTAAAGTTTCTTAATTTTATCACACCTTGCAATTGAGAAAGAAATCCGTGTAAGTTTTTTTCATTCATTTTCCAGTTGGCTGGAAACATTACTGATGTCAGTTATTTACCTGCATACTTCAATGTGCAATATCAAATGAAAGCTGATTCTAATTAAAAACAGAAATCCATCAATCCTAGTATTCTGCAATTTTATTCTGCTGAAAACAAAACTTGAAAAATTTAAGTGCTTCATCTCTGTCTGAATAGAGTGCTGATGCATGAAGTTTCCAAAAATACAACATACAAAATAAATATATGCTTTAAAGGTGCACTATGGTTTTAATGGTTACCAAGCAACACAGAGTGGGTACTGAACATAAATTGCCTTCCCCTTGGAGGCACGCAAAGAGGGAAGTGTTATGCAATATTTCACTCTGGAACTCAAAGACAGATGGATTCAAATTCCCTAGACATTATTCCTACTTATTACAGGCAGGTATTTAGTGGAATGAACAGTAATTACAGCAGCTAATATCCCATAATTCCTCTCCCCAACTACAGATCCAAACAAATATACAACAATATACTGGAAGTCGATGTCTATAAGCAAACAAGAAAACACCTTGGAAGAAAGGTGTAAGGCAAGCTAAAACCACTACAGATGAGTGCAGCAAGATTAATGGAGAAAAAAAACCCCAGAAATCAGAGAACCGGCTTTTTACCTGCTTTTATAATTAAAGCCTTTTCTACTCTTTGCAGATGTATTTGAAAAAATAAGGGAAAAAAAATGAATGTAATGTAATTCATATGGCTCATGCAAGGAAAAAGTCACAGAATGGATCCATCAGCTCAGGGAACTGGAATGAAATGTAGCTTACTACATATTGCCTTCAATCTCCTAATAAGACTGGAAGCAATTTTGGGAGACCTATTTCTTAATAGCAGTGACACCTACTGCTGTGTCTTTACCTCATACAGTGTTACTTATTATTAAATGTGGTGAAAATTTCAGTCCGGAGCACTTTGGCCAAAATCTTTCATATACTCTGTTATCTTAAGCAAGGAGCTCTAAGGGAAGAAAAGCCTCATTCCTCCCATGTATGTTCTTTTCCAAGCAGAATGTGCAGGGTCTGATCAGCAAGGGAAGAATGATTTGTTTGAATGAGATCTTCATGGTGTACATAAGAATGTGCAGTATTAACACACAGAGCTTTGTTTTAAAAAACAATTTATATTACAGATGTGTAATAAATGTTTTGTTTCTTAACTCACTTGAAATCAGAAATAAAAATTAGTTTATTGAGTCTAGTTAGAATAAAAGTTATAATCTGGTAAAAACAGGCACTGTATTCAGCCTCAGTGGCTTCATAAGATGTTGCATCCTTACAGATAAAACATGTGAGATGTGTACCTCCATTTGCCACCAACGTGGATTTTAATGGCATTACCAGGGTAACAAGATACACAATATTTTTCAACAATTAACTCTTGCTTAAGAGAACTATTAAGATCAGAGATTACAGTCTGGGCATCAAACATTTGTCAAATTTTCAGCTACATTATGCTGCTTGTATGCACACATTATTATTTAAAACTAACACCCTAAAATAAATTCCCACTTAATTAAATTTCAGATTCACATTGAGAAACCAGGTTCATGCCTCAGGATTAGGAAAAAGTACTTTGAACACAGTTAAGAAAAGTTCATTCAGTCCAATATACAGATGAAAAGCCAGTCAAACCACACTTTTAATTCTATGTAATTGATGTCATGCCCAGTAATTTTGCAGAAGTTGTCCTGAAAACTACTTTTCCTGGACACCTCTTAACCGATTTTCACTATATTGGAGGAGAAATGTGTAATGTATTCCCCAGGCTTGGGATGGACATTAAAAAAAAAACAGTTAAGAGATACATTGCTCAGGAAAAAAGGCCTTATTTGCAGTGAGAAAAACTTTAATTTTCTATGGGTAAAAAACCTATTTGAAATCAAGGTTGCTGTACACAGGCCCAGTAGCTGTAGAGTTCTGCTCCACAACTAAGAGACAAAAAAAAACGGATGTCCACAGTAAACCAGAAGATAATAAACTATTTGAAAACATCTTCAACTTTTCAAGTCCTGAACCACTTAAATCCCTGCAGTATTTCTGAGGATTTAAAACTCTCAGATACAGAGGTACATGCATACCAAACTCATCATAGTCCTTCATAGCAAAGACATTTGATACCCTGCACTTTATTCAGTCAGAATAGAAGCAACTTCCTCCAAGCAAGTGGTTTGCAGGTATGTAGAATGTAAGCAGAAAGTAACAAAAAAATTCTACTGTGAAAACTACCCTTGAAAAGCACTTTTCTTGCTTTGATGTGAATTATTTACCTCATAAGAACACTTATCAGACCCCTCATTGTTTCAAGACTGTCTACGGAAAACTGAAACAATACAAAAAAAATTTGCAATTAATCCTGCAGACTGCCACAGAAAATACCACTGGCACATTTATACTGATTCCAAAGGGAACTCAGATCTTTATTGTGAACTCCAGATGTCTCTTTGTGTACCTCAACTGCTTCTTGGAAAGGTAACTGCTACTGGGTATGGGAATGCTTAAATAACCTCTTAAAGCAGGACTTGTTGTGTGTCTGTTCATCAATATAACACTTAAATAACATTCTGGAAACCTCACCACCATGTTACAGGCTCATGCCTGCATTCAAAGGGGATGAACACAGCTTACCACAGGGTTCAGCAACTGTGTTGGTGTACCCTAAGATATGTGGGTGCAAATCTAAGAAGGAGCCATTTAAGTGCCCTCTGAGCCATTCAGTGCTCTCTGCCTCTGCTGACCACGCTCTATCACACAACTGATTCCACTGCCCTTTAACAGTACAAGATTTCTCTGAAGAAATGAAAATTGCATCCTACCACTGTTTTTCCATTTGGAAATTGATTTGTAGAGAGCTTAGGAGTCACTAATACCAATATTGAAAGTAGCAAACATACCTTCACCAGGCAATTGGTGTGACCTGGAACAGACCCATTTACATAAATAATGTCATGTTTTGTATTGATCCTCCACACCTAGGAGACAGAAAAAAAATAAAAATCAAACATTGAGTCCTGTTTAGAGATTATTCCCAGTTCTACAAGAAGTCTAGCAAAGCCCAGACTGAGTAATTGGTTATGATACCCTGGGGAATAAAAATGTTCTGTACAGGCCTAAACTTGCCACAGAATTCACTCACATGCCTCTCTGGGTGCAAAGCTTCCTATTGCAAGAGACTGAAACAGTTTTAAAGGGCTGGTGACTGTATTTGGTAAAGCAGCTCTTTGTTCAGTGTAACACCAACCAAAGCTCCTAGGTCTCTTTTCCTTCTAATAGCAAAAAGTTGAAAAAGATGAAAAACATCACAGGTGACAAAGTAAAACAAATGTCCTTGTGAAAATGTTCCTGTTACCATATGTTAATTTCTTAACTCAATCAGGTGCTCAACTGAACACACACATTTTCTGCTACAAAAAATTAGTTATAGTAAACTGAGAACAATAGCAGCACTTTTTGGCAAACTAGAGGTCAAAATGCTTTTTGTGCAAACTGCAGAGGTTGCCTTCAGAGACAGAGAAGCTTTAATAGCTCAGGAGCTGCTGTAGCTATGCACAAATCAGAATCAGGACAGAAACTACAACCCCCTTTTTGCACATGAAAGTGAAAGGCCATGACCAAGTCAGAGCTTCAAACAAGTCAGATTTGGGCTGGGTGTGAACAATTGAATAGGCATGGAGACATTAACTGAAGTCACCAAAAGCCTGATTGTTCTCCCTTTTCAAAGGCAGAAGTCAAGGGACATAAGGAAAAACACACTGAACGTGGAAGCATCACCTGAAATCCCAGTTTCCAGGGTACCACAAACACAAAAGGATGTTCAGATAAGCTATTTGTAACCCACAAGAGAACAGGAGAACACAGTTGCTGCTCTGCTATTTCCAGTTTGCTTACTTCAAATGCAGCTGTCTGGACTCTTGCAGAGATGGCAGACAGAACACCACTGCTTGGTAATGCCACCACCTTATACACACACTGGTATAGCCAGAACTCACCTTTAATCCAAAAGATGTCCTGTAGATGTTGCCCATTTTACCAGGCATTTTCTTTCCACGATAAACTTTGGCAGCTTGCTAGATAAAAACAAGGCCAAAACCACCATGTTAACTGCAAGAGGTACACCAGAGAAAATATGCTGGTTTTTCCAAGGCTGAAAGTATATAATATCAAAAAAATCTAATCCTGATAAGCATTTTAAATACCTCCTGCCAGAAGTTAGGTTTTACTCTACACATGTCCTGAAATACTTGACCACAATCACAAGATTTTTATATATATATATATATACACACACACACTGTAGTTTCTCTCCTCCCCTAATCAAAAAGTTTTTACACTGATGTCAATCCGATCTTTTTTAACGTGTATTCTTGAGAGTGGAATTTTTAATTACATTCCCCAGTATTCCTTGGTTTCTGTACCCAATTTTGACAACTGGACAATTAAGGTGGGGAAAAAAGGCAGGAATAAGTGAAATAATTTTCAATTCTACACTGTTATGAAAGGATATCTATCCCGCACCTCTCTGTTAAACATTAATAATGTTTCTTGGAGTATTTCTTAATTCTTGTGGCAATCATGATTTCAGGAAATCAGTTGCAATGCAGTTCTAGGGAGAGGATTTTCTACTGAACAGTCCTGGATTACAAAATGTCTGAGATAGTACTTTCCCATCTATGGTTGGCTATCAAGGCATTGCTTTTCCCCTGTTGCATCCTTTCACTTTGTTTCCTTCCCATCATACCTACTTCCAATACCATTTTTCATTCTATATACTTTGTGAAATTACATGCAGCATTACTGCTTAGGAAGTTCTAATTTAAAGAAAAGTAAAGGGGTTATTTTGTAATGATGAATACCATCTGCTAAAATAGTGTTTAGTGTTCAAATATTTACATTCTTCAATGAAAACAAGTGCCAGGTGTAGAATTCTTCTGCCAGCTGAAACTGAGAACTATAAATCAGTAACACATGCTTTTACACTCAATTACTCAAACTTCATTGACTGCTGCCTTTTTGCTTTTACTATTCTCTTGAGTATTATTAATCCTTTTTTAAATTTTAATTTCTCTAAGAAATTTACAGACAGTTCATGTTCAGTACTATGACTAAGTTTATCTTAATTAGTTTCCAAAATATTCTTCTTAGTTCAGTCTAAATACTGTACAGCCTTTATAAGACAAAGCCTAAAATTAACTTGTTCAAAGAGCTTTTATACTAATATTATTTACAGTTTGAAATGTAAAAGTATGACTCTGTACTCTGCTTAGAAATGCACAGAAGCTTACACACTTCTGGGAATAATTCCCTACTAAATTATGGGGATCAGTTCATTATGCAGCTGCACATGCCAGGCAAGGTGATAAAAGCAACCAGGGTTCCAAAGAACAGTACAATATCTGCAGGATAAAATATCAGGCAAATCCATTCCAATCTATAAAAGCTGTGATAAAAGCTTCTTAGAACTCTCTTTGAAGAATTAATGCTGTTCCTCTCACTATATTACAAAATACGCCAATTAGCTCAGTTAAAATATGAGCATTTACCACCAATACAGAATATTCATAAATCAAGGCCTAAGAGAACAGCACTGCTCCTTCTACAGGATTCTGAACTTCCTTTGCTGCTGGGATTCCCTGCTAGCACAGAGTAAGTATGGCAGCTAGCTACTGTACATTTGTTCAGTTTTAGTAAGCTGTTCTAAAAACACAGAGGAATGTTTTAATGGGAAATGAGAATCCTTACATTGGTAGATATTGCTCCAGGTCGTCTGTGAGTTTTTGTCTGGCCATGGCTTGCAGGCTGACCTTTAAATCCCCACCTTTTCATGACACCTTGAAATCCTTTACCAATTCTGGAAACAAAAATAATTAAGAAACAAACCTGGGTTAGTCAGACATAAACTTTCTAGCAATAATCAACAAGTTCAGGCAGGCTCATGATTTTTTTACCTTTAACAACACTCAGCTTAGGGAAGAAGATACTTAAACATGGTATAAAAATCTGTACTTTGCACCATAAACATATTTTAGCACAATGCTTAAAGATTGCTTTACAGAATAAGAAGCACTAGAAGAGTCAAACAGGCAAGAAGACTAACATAAAATGTTCTTTGCTGTGATTGTCCTCAATAAAATTTATCACAATGCATCTGTCACCAAGTGAGTGGCAGAACAAACAAACAAAAACCCTGTCAAAATCCCAAATAATACCATATACCACAACTCAATGTCCAACCTAAGCATTTTAAGAGGGAAGGGATGGCTACTTAGAAGGAACATTTCTTTTCCATACAACAAACACATCTCTTGAGAGCAGCTTTGGGTATAGTGACATGTAATTCCCTTGATCTGTACTCATCTAACAAATAAGCTCTAAAACACAATATCAAATAAAATGTATTTTTAGAGTCCATGTCCTTCATCTTTGGGCCACATGACAGCATTACTGGCTTTGGAATTCTCTATTTACTGCAAGGACAGATTCAATAGGGAAAAACACCACTGCACAAAGGAAAAGCTGAATTAAGTGTGTGTTAAACTGGCATTATCAGTGTCCAAAAGCAGAAGTCTGACCACAGTGCTTATGGCTGCACTGATTATTAAATTTAACCTGAAATCGTCTCAGTTGGTCAGAGCATGGTGCTTCTAATGCCAAGGTTGTGGATTCCACCCCTGTTAGGGCCTTTCACTTAAAGAGTTGGAGCCTGTGATCCTTGTGGGTCCCTTCCAACTTTGAACATCCTGTGATTCTATGATTTTGCAAGAGAATCCTTTTCCTCTGATTTTCTCTGCAAAAATATATATGCACTTTGCATCTAAAATAAAACTGGATATGAGCACACTCTATGCAGGAACTGCACTTGGCTGACTCCCTGCTCAGCACTGCCATGAAAAACTAGGGAACACACAAACACAGAAAACACCAACATTAATGAAAAGTAGATTCTTTCCTCTTCCCGCTTGATTCAACTCTCCTGTAACTGCTGTCCTGGTTATCTTGAACACATCAAACCACAGTCAAAAATAGCCATAAAGAAAGACTCTCTAAAGCTACAGAATTATAAGGGAACACGAGCTATGCAACCACAGTGTCTGTCTCCTGGTCTTCCCCTTCCCTGCTCAGAACCTATGGGACAATCCCAGTTAAATCTGGCAAAGAAACATGTGTAATTGTTTGAATAAAGAAGTTCCTGGTGAGAAGCTCCTGAGTATTTTTTGCTCCTTACCTAGAGCTAGGGAAAAGCTAAAACTTAATTAAAGCAGTGATATCTTCCTTTGATCTGCCAGCTGGCTGGTCATGCAAGTGGTTGTCACCAGCAAGACAAGTCCTGCCAGGCCAGCAGACAGTGGTGGGACATGAAGATATGAAGGGCGTTGGGGCCATGAGAGGAAGCTGAATGAAGGCACCTGCAGGAGGGATGACCTGGGTTATCTGGGATTAGGAACACAAGACAGGAATCCAAAGGATGCAAGGCTTTGTAACACCGCTTTCTGATAGAATCAGCTTACTTTAAAAGCTTGCAGTAGTAAACAGCAATAGTAGTAAAAAACAGGTTGAAAAATACACTTTAAGAGAGGCTCTAAACTTGTGTTTTTCTGTTTTCATATTGCTAGGGAGCAGTAACTATGAAATACACGCAGAAACTAAGCTATAGGAAAACTCATATCTGTTCTGCCAAAATGCGATTTTTTTCTTTTAAACTACCTATTACTGGCCATGTTTTCCAAGCAGATTACTTCTGGCATCTCTAGCTGGAAGATGGACTTAGCAAAGTCTCCAAAACCAACTGCAAGTGGGTTGCAGGTGTGCAGTCAACAGAGCGAGCAGATAAATTCTCTCTTTAAATGATGGGGCATGATAAATTCTTTAGCTGCAGAAATGCCCTTGCAATTCAGAGAAAACCACACAACCATAGAAAACTACCATTTCAAAAGTAAACACTACTGTCAAACTTAGCCAAGAAGAATAAATCTGATGTCATGAAATCACTTCAATATTTCATTCTACTTACTTATTTTTTAACATGAACAATTTAGAATACTGTCAGTTGTGCTAAAAAAAATTTAAAACATAAATACATATATGCAAGAGATGTATTTTTTAAATAGAGTTTAGTACATCAAATATTATAAGATAACTTCAAAAAAGTGATTATATTACAAGATAGACTTGTTAGTGTTAAATGATTCATGCAATAGAGAATACTCAGTTGCTTCTTGGTCCTTCTAATTACACATGTATTTCCTGTGAACAAAGACTCAGATTTTACAACACTGAAGCCTTAGGAACTTTATAGAAAGTGTGATCAGACTGAAAAAAGAGTACTCCAGTAAACCTGAAAGTTGTCCTGCATCTGTTGATCTGGAATATGAAAACAAATCTTCAGTCTCTGAAATATTCTGCTTAAAGGCAAGGAAAGATATTGCAATACTAAAATTAAGAGCATTTTATCCTTTTTTAAAAAATTTATAACCTTTATTTTATACTTTTGTATTTTCATTCTTTTTTACTATCTAGCAAGGCATTTTCATCATATTAGTTCAATAATGTTTCAGATTAGTTTCATTTTTGACTTGTAAAAATCACTCCATTACCTACAAGGACACTTTACCTTAGAACTTCCTGACATTAATTTCCTATTTAATATGACACAGCCATCATGACTGAAATAATTAAAAAAGAAGCAGCTAATTTTTTTTTCATTTTGGAGTTTTTTACTTTAAAAAAGAATAAACAATGTCTAATGTTTTTTGTCACACATGTCAAGAAGACAAACAATTACATTGTGTGTATTTCTTATTTGACTCATGTTCTATCTGAAATAAAGCTGGAAATAGAGTAAGAACAGAGTAAGATTATTTAGACTGAATGCAAAGTTTAAAATAAAGTAAGGACCTATTAACATCTGGTTTATAATTAAATTTAGAACTGGTAAACTAGGCAGTTAGTAGCTCAGGCAATATACCTCAAGCATTCTAAAGAGCAGTGATTTTCCAGCCTAAGTTGATGTGAATAAGATCTGTTTTCAAACAAATGGTGGATTTCTCCACTATATGAAAAAAAATATAATTAGTACATTTTCTCCACGATCCACAATTTATCTGTATTTCTAATGCAAACACTTTACATACTTTCAATTGTATGAAATGCAACATACTTTTGAAACTAATATTTATCTTATATAAACAAGGAAGAGAAGTTAAGATGCATGCTGTTCAAGACATATTATGGAAAATCAGAGAAGGATTTATACAGTGTATTGTACAGTCTTAAACTTTTTATTCTGACAAAAATAATGAATATTATGCAAATTATATTCTTGTCCATTTCTGAACAGACACCAGGCGTCAGCTATTAATATCATTCATTTAATTTCAAATTGTTTAACTGCCCTCTTTGCCCTCCTTAAAAATTACTATATGTGAACACATTCAGCAAGGATCACTGATAAAAGAAAAGTAATTATTCAAACTTAACCTAAGCCAGCTGAGATTTTTAAAAAACATTAAGGTCTGTCAAAGCAGGATGTTAATCCAGTACTATATATTAAATTTACAGAATAAATTACTAGAATCCACTCAGAAAGAATTGATTTTGCTGCAGTATCTGAAATATGATAACCAAGAACCTATGCTGAATTACAATGTTAGACATCCTACTTACCCTGTTGGGGTATCATGCTAAGGCATCTTCTACCTGTTGTCTTGGTTTGAATCAAGGGCTATACATCTTTAATACTCTAACATTAGACACCATATCTGAACAGAAAACCCCACATGTATGGGACTTATAAAACTAGATTTGAAATGCAGAATGCCCCTGTTCCTCAACAGATGCAATATAGTGACCTAATTTACTTGGCTTCACTGAGTGAAGCATTACCTGTTTTCCAGAAAGTAATCACAGGGAGCAATGATGATATGAAAAACTAGGGCATGCAAGAGTTAAAAGAGAAATAATCTTTCTGCAGAGTTAAAAATAGAGTTTAATTACAGTTGTTCTGGTCTCACCTGCAGGAAAGCAGGTGTTGAGGTCAACCACCTAATTTTGTACAAACCCTCATTTTCCAGATTTGATACAAGAAAAATGCCAGTACGTAATGAGAGAACTCTCATTTAGAAAGCTACGGGAATTAAGCAACTCTAATTAAGCAACAATTTACTTAGCTAGTAACTCTTCAAATGTAGTTAATTTAAAAGAGCATTATTTCCATGCTGCAGGGGAAAAGTATTCCCACTACTTACTCAGATAACTTTGGGCAAATGGAGAGTTCTGATTCAGGCTCAGATTACACAGCTATTAGAGCAAAACTTAAATAAACCACAAACACTCCAGACTCACCACTTTCCAACAAAACTACTGTTGGCTTTTTCTTGGGAGTGACAACATTTCTGATTCTTATCACCCTCTGAGTAAAGAATTTCTTCCTAATATCTAATCCAAACCTACTCTCAGTTTGAAGCCATTTGTCCCATCACCACATGCTTTTGTAAACAGTCTTTCTCCATCTTTCTTACAGGCTCCCTTCAGATACTGAAAGCTGCAATTAGGTCACCCTGAAGCCTTCTGTTCTCCAGGCTGAACAATCCCAATTCCCTTACGCTTTCCTCACAGGGGAGGTGCTCCATCCCTAGAGGGGACCACAGAGCTGGATGCAGTACTCAAGGTGAGGAAACAGAGCTGCAGCCTGTGAGAGAGGTATTTCTGGATTTTGTTGTGCATTTTAGCTCCAAGCTTAGCAGGGCTAAACTTAAGGATTGAGCTTTTAAATTACTGAAAATAAGAACTAAGGAAAATATTTCAGCACTATAGAAGATTCACAGCATGCAGACACACTGCCCAGTCTCAGTGCTCTAAAAGCCACTCATACCATGCTGAACAATCGTGAGGTTTGAAATAAAGTGCAAACATAAACCTTTAACTGAACCCTCTCATTCCTGTAAAAGTGTTTTTCTTTACAGAGGGTTAAATGAATCAAAACATTTCAAAAGACTTTGACAAAAAACATTTGCAGGGAAGATTAAAAGAAGGCAGTCAGAAAACCCCCGACATTTTGATAACCAAATGAAGAGGCTAACCCAAGACTTCTGAAATGAAATTTGAAGTTTGCTTATATATAAGGAGCATATTTCTATTTGCATTCTGGGAGAAGGAAGCATAAAAAAGGATATATTGCTCATCTGAACAATTAAAAGTTGGTAAAAGATTAAAATATCCTTTATATCCCACTATATTATCTCCTTACTGAGGCAACATTTGTTTTCTTTCTTTCCTTTTTAAAGGACTTATTACAATTAATCATGCTACTATCAACAGCACTGCTATTTTCATCCACATGATTTTTAACACTGTACACTCTGGAGTTTCATCCAATAAAAGCAAAATTACTGTCAAACTCAAAAATGTAAAGTACATATTCATGCAAATGTATTTCTAAAAACTTTTACTTGACAGTATGTCTCCGGAATTACTGTCAAGTCCATAATGGTTTGAAACAGAAAGACCCAGGTCCTCCCTCCAAGTCCTTCCCCAGGTTGGATGGGACTTTGCTGGATGAAATTGCATGGAAGAAAACAAAACAATAGAAGAAAAACCAGAAATGTAGTAATATAACTTAATTCTTGCCCAGGAGGTAAGGAAACATGATAAATGAAGCATTCCAAAGAAGCAGAAATCAGAATGTGAGCAAGCTACAGAAAAGGGTTAAAAATTTTTGATACAGAAAGACTGGAATGATTAGAGAATCACACCGACAGAAAACCCATTTCACCTTTCTCTTTAGTTAAAGAACATTTCCTTCACCTTTACAGAAAGATTACAAGAAATACGCTACCAAATCAACAGTACAAACACACATCTAATTTCTGAAATGGGATCATACAAATATCTAGAGAAAACATATTAAAAATACTAAACTGCAATCTAGGATGGATTCACTGAACAGGACCAAGAACCCAGTCCATTTTTAGCTTGCTAGTATTTTCAAATACTAAAAGCAATACAAATCAATCACCTGCAGCTGTTTACCAACATCTTCTACACTGCTAAAAAATCCCTTTCCTAGTTCTTGGAAAAACTGCTGGAAAAGCAAAGCTTTTCTGCATTAACAAAGACTGACACTTAATCTCCATTAAATGACTGTATTCCTAATGATCACGTGCTTTGTTTTGCAAACAAGCTATGGTCTATTAGAGGATGCTCACTGAATGCAATTTACAAGCAGAATGAATAATATGCCAGACTTAAATGTATAAGAAAGTGTGACGTGGAAAAAATACTAATTCCAATCAATTTCTTAAATTGTTTTTCTTAATAGTGTGCCCTCACAAATGCAGTGAGGCGTAGTTCTATTAGAACTGCACACTCAGCTCTGTTGATATGGTCAGTTTCCCCAAGTATACAAAATCCTGTGAACAGCATTGGACATTTATAGGCATTATACCCTACATGTGAGACAACTGCAGCTGGGTACCATCTCCATTGCAGAGAAAATAAAACATGTAATGGCAACTATTATCTTTGTACCACAACACTGAAATATGCAGACAGGAGTTCCCTTGGTCAGGGAAAATCACACATGTACAACAAGATCCAGGACCAGTCTTTGCCACGGGATGCCAGTTTTTCTTTTGAACATCCCCTATTACTTGAGCTCTCATTTGGCATTCACAGTGGTCTGAGAGGAAATTATTCCTCCCACACTAAAGTAAAAGATCTTTAGCCACTGCTGGCAAGGACATGAGCTGGAATGCAAGAGAAAACAAACAAAAAACGAATCTGACAGCTCTCTTGTACTGCTAAATGTATTCACTACCTTTTTGCTATCTTTTCAGTCTGCATATCTCTTCCCATCTCTTCACCAAATTAAAATTAGGCAGTCTTTTTGGGAACCAATACCTTTAAGCATTTTTACATACTAGAGATACTGTAATAAAGTATCTCCTTGCCCATGCTAATCATGAGCATGTGAGACACAATACAGGCAGCCCTCAGCCTCAATAGTATCAATAGTCTAGCTGCCTTGTTCAAAAGCAAGAGGAAGCCTCATCCAGAAACATAACCTGGTATTTTTGACTCAATGAGTGAATGGACGTCAATCTCCTGTCACTATCATTGCAATTGTATTTCAGCTTTTGTGAGCCAGGGGTTCAAGCCAAATTAGAGGGAAAAAAAGTTAGCCAGGTTCTTTGAGAGAGATTTAAGACATGATAAATCCTCAGGCACCTACGTTTTTGCAGTGACATCCACAAACTGCCCGGGGCGGAAGTGAGCGGCATACAAAGGAGTACCTGCAGGAGAAAAGGAGAGATCATGTTCAACTTAGAGCTGAAATCCTTAAACCACTACAGTGTCATCATCCTCCAGGGCAGGTTACAGTCACAGGAAAGGAAAGAGAACTTGTTATTTACATCTTATTTGTTCTTCTTCATCAACCTCACTGACCGAAATAGATGCTTTGTGTTCACTGTTTAAGCACACATCTTAGGATATAACCCGATTTCAGATTAGCAGGAAGGGTCAAGGCTTTACTCAGATACATTGCCCTTCATACACTGCCAAAGCCCAAAGTGCCTAATTAGTTAACACTCATAATACATATGCTTAGCAAAAAACCAGAATATGCTGCACTTAGAACTACTAGCACTTCATAAGGTGGAGAGTTAAAAAAAAAAAATTAAACCAAAAAACCAAACAAACCACAATGCCCCCCATTTATTATAAAAAATGGGGTTAATAAAAAAGGAAATTTTGCAACACTTCCTCTATGAAGACACAGCGTTTCCAAACCGAAGTCTGTGGTAAAAGTACAGCTTCCTCCACTGAGGAATTGTCTACATGCTGACTTTTAGCAGAAACAGTGGCACTGTAGGTCAGTGACATCACTCACCTCACTGTAATTACAGAAATTCCTTAAGTACCTGCAATATCAAAATATTAATTTCTGATTTGTTTTGTCTTCACTGATTTTTTTTTATCCAAGCGCAAATATTCTTTCATTAGGAGCTTAAAAAAAGCCAACAAGGCAAAACTGATAACTTAGTTCATCCTAAATGAACTTTAATCTGAAGATTCATGTGGCTGCATATTTCAGTTTGCAGTCTGTTATACATCCATTAAAAAAATGAAATTTTAATAGCTTAATGTCTTTTCAATTGCTTCCATGCTTTCTAAAATCTGTATGAATGCAAACTGAAATTATGTAAACCTCTCATAAGTCTCAAGTATAAAAACTTTCATATTATTTCATGTTATATTTACATAATCCACACATTTGGATAAGTGCCAACTGACACAAAATCACGCCCATAAAGGATGTTATGTACAAAATACACACACTGCAAAACCAGTTTATCAAAAACTTGCAATTCTGCTTTATCTCAAGCTATTGCTTCCATTTATCAGTCCAGACTTCCTCATCATGTCAGATTTGATTTTTATCAGTTACTGCAGTCTTAAATAGGTCTTGCAAAAAGCTCCACTAATGGCAATGAAGATGCAATACATTAGAATTTCCTACCCTATATAATTCTTCAGAAAACACCTGTAACTGCCAAAAGCCACAAAACAAATGCAACCTAAATAGACTACCTAACAAAACCTTAGACATGTTAAACTTTTCATTTGATCACCAAACTTCCAATACTGATTTTTAGTAAGGATGTTTGTTATAAACATGAGTCAATGTGTTTTACTTTGCAAGCTGTAAAACAGAAAAAGCAGCCTTTGTCCTACTTTTGAATGCAGCAAGAAGAAACAAAACTCAAACTGCTATTTCAGGGTCCTGAGAAACATTACCACAAAACTGTGTTCCTCTCACATAAGGATAAACACAGAACTTGCTGTAACTGTATCCATATTTATGCCCAATAAGTGAGTCAAGGTTACAGACATCTACTTCTTAACTTAATGTTCAGAGTACATTTGGATTGGATTTATTTTCTCATAGGTGGAAACATAGCATCCTGGAAAAAGTAAAAATCCTACATCTCATCAACTAAAAAGTAAAACCCATCTTCTGATTTTCCCTATGCAAAAAGTTTGCTTAATGACAAAGAATTCAGAATTTTCCATAAAAAACAACACTGAAATACACATCATAGCTTCATTTAGGTCTACAAGTGGCAGATGCTAAATGACTATGCACATAACACTCAGTAGCTCAAAAAAATTACCTGGCTTAATTATGGCATCATCTGTTACATTAAATGTTGTAACTTTCTGCTTCCGTGGTACTCCAGCTTCTCTAAAAATTTCATGTGCAGACTCTGGTTTCTGCAACAAAAAGCAGCCATAAAAAAAAAAGTCATCTTAAAATACCCAAGAATCAACCTAGCACAGAAAACTATTACAGACTGTCAACATCACTCAGAGAAACAGACACATCATACTAAAATTTCATCTTCAGGCTTGCATTTTCTCTCTACATAAAGTTTATTTAAAAATAAATAAATGCCTGCCTCTTATTTTCTGTCAAGTAGTTACCCTACAGCTACCTAATATAAACCAGAGATATATGAGGATATCGAAAATCTGAAGAGGGAAACTAATCATTTAGAATGTAAATGACAAATGTTACTTTTTTTTTCATGGCTTACAAGGAGTTTTGTAGTAATTTAGAAGTAGTTTCTCTTTTTCAAAGCTTAGTTTGACTTAGTTCCAGATCAAATGATAAATGTAATTTATTTAACTAACAAAAACATAGAAACAAAATTCTTGTCTTGCAGAAACTTCTAGAAATGCTTAAATTTCCACAGAAGAAAATTTTGAGTCTCTGGGCAAAAAAAGAAAAATTAGCAACAACGAGTTTATGATCCACGTATTTTTAAGATATAGCAAGTACACTCAGTATCAATACACTGCTGACCTACTAAAGCAGAGATTTTGCTTTCAGATGAGTCTGACACATTTTAGAGTACTTTAAATTATTCTCAGCTGTTTTAAGCAAAACATCTCACAGAACAGCAGACCACTGAGACAAAACCAAGCAACAGAAACAGTGATGCAGGAAAATTGTGGCCACAGGAAAAAAAAAAGGAGATGCAGCTGATTTTCCTTCAAATGGCTTCTGGTAGAAAGCAATTTAAGCATCTAACAATACTGTCACACTTGGATAATCTCATCTCTGAGGTCTGCTTCTCAAAACTTCTGTGCAGTTCCCTCTCTCTCAAAAATTATTTTGTGTATTTTAAGAGCAAATAATATGGACAATTTAAAAAATGTTACTTAGTGTATTTGACAACAGTTTTGAAAATCTGCATATTGCCCTTTCTTTTGTTTTTGAACATTTGTTGAAAAGTGTTAGAACAGAGGAAGTTTTATGAGGAATGAGGAAGCAAGATGATGAAGCTCTCTGATTTAGAAAAAAACCCAGAAATTTTAAGTTCACAAATTTGTCTTTGAGAGTGAAAAATGTTTCCCAAGACATTTCTTAACTTGAGGTCACAGTACAAAATACTCAAATATCTTTAAAAAAACAGAATCAACTACAAACAAAACCTCTCCTAAGACCACACATATTTGAGGGATCAGCAAAGCACCTGTATTAATCTGCAGAACTATACGTAAGAAGGAAAAATAAAAGATGTGGAATTCCTACTGAGTGCCTGTATATCAGTCCTTTATTTGCAGTTATGTAAAACTGCTGCCTTAAGCTACAGCAAGGGGAGCCCTGTGCTCAGCAGGGGTGGCTGGAAAGAGAAACCACAGCTGAAGAAGAGTATGGTGAAGTCAGAGGGTAAAATTCACTTGTATCTCAAGAGTCCTACTCTAGGCTGTACCCTTGCACTGTTCTACTGTAACAGCACCTCCTCTTCAAACAGCCAAGTCAGAGGTGTATTTTTACAAACAAAACACCTCAGTCTTTACAAACCCTTCCTAAAAAGCAATATTGAAGAGAGGAACACTAAGTGAATTCTCAGATGTTTCTTATTTTTAAAAACACCAACAATACCTTCCAGTATTTGAGGAAAATGATCGATATGCCCTCGCTTATAGGAAGCATATAAAATATTTTTGATCAAAAAATGTCTGAGCATTGACAGAACTTACTTTTGAGCATAATTTTGCATTAAAAAATCATGAAAAAGCTGTTCACTTGTAACAGAGTGACATACATCAAGCTAAAAAGGAAAAATGAATCTTGCTAAAAATGCAATACCCCTTATCAGTTTTAAAGCAATGTGACACTCCAAAGAAATGCAGGAAATTCTTTGTTAGAAAAATTACTGAAGGAATCTTTTGATTGAACTCATTAAAAACCAGTAGATGTGAGGAATCTGAGAAAGACAGATGTTCCTATGAGGAATTAACAAAAGAGAAATTGCTTATGCTAATACAAGACAGTATCATTCAGCTTTCTTTTATATCTCACTTCTGATACTTCTGAGAGAAAAGAAACATATAAACAGGCTGATAAACACAGGAAAACAATGATCCAAATTTGCAGCTAAACCACAGAAATACATCACTTCTTAGCACCTTAACAAGTAAATCTGCCCAGAATCAGCATGCCAAATTCTTCCTTAGGAATTATCTAGTTTATACAATGATGATGTCAAAAATAATAATACAGAGCTCAGAATAATAATAGTAGCAATAGTAGTAATAATAGTAACAATAGTAATAATAATAGTAATAATAATAGTAATAATAATAGTAATAATAATAGTTATTATTATTATTATTATTATTATTATTATTATTATTATTATTATTATTATTATTATTACACAGTTCAGTCTCAGGCCAGGACCTCACCAAAGACAGCTCAAAGAATATTTAAATAATTTCTTTATTAAAATGAGTCTAAGTTCAAACAAATTAACAGACACTAACTTGGGAAAAGTTATGCCCAAAGAAAGTCTTGAACATAACACACACTACTAAAAAGTCCTTGAGTTGACTTTTTACTTAGTTCTGCTTTGAAGAAATTTTCATAGGAGCTGTTTAAAAAGAAGATTTCTTCATACCTCCTTACTTCTGGCATGATTTTACTCTGACAACATACTGGATTTACTGGTAACATCATCTTAATGAAAAGATCAACTCTAAGGAGTCTAATGGGCAAAATACAACTTGAAAACATTATTCCCATGACTCTTGTATGTCTTAGACCAAAGTAAGAGGAAAGAAAAAACCACAGCTGTCATTTGTCCTGGAAAATGTCATACTTGGAAGGTGTAAATGGACTGAAGTGACAGAATAGACACCTGAAGAGTGCAAGCTGTGCTAGTCAAACATGGCATAAACCAACTGAATAAATGAATGGTACCTTGAAGTATAAGCCTGTTCAAAATCAGCAAAATAAACTAAAAAAGCCAACAGATCTATCAAATGAAAAAAGGTCCTTCTCTTACCTCCACTAAAGCAGAAACAAGTACACAGAATAATTGTGAGGCCCTGGGATAACCATCTGTTTGAAAAATGGAAATTTATGCCCTCAAAAATCCATGATAATGAACTGAGATAATCTGCTTAGTTGTCATGAGCCCTGGGATTTTTTTACTTGCCCAAATCAGACAAATGAGTGTCAGGATATTGCAAGAATTGAAAAATCATATTTTACAGAAATAATGCATCACAGAAACATCCTTTGAGGGAATGCTTTGTTCCTGCTTGATCTCTAACTCATCCTGGGGAATGACAGCTCTGCCAGAAAACCTCAGCCACTGAAGATATCTGGGAATTCCACATAAAGCAACTGGGATGTCTAAAGAAGTGAGTGGCTTTAATATGGCTGTTGATGAGTAACAATAATGAAGCTATCTTCCTGAAAAGGTAAGTCTTAAAGTTACTTAGCAGCAGAACTATAGGCAAACTAAACAATGTCAACAGACCTGGGGAAAAATCAGAACTACAGCTAAAAAGATGGTATAGAAGAGAAAGCCAGAGCACCAAGTTGTAAACAACTGATGGAGCTGAGTAAGTTTACAACAGGCTCCTGAAGTGTATTAGTGCATAAGTGAAGTATCTTGCAGTCCTCATCTCAACTGCATCTTCACAGACACAAAGAACACACATTTCTCCACTGCTAGTGGTCCTTCAAATGCTTTCACCAGCATGGGACACTGCACATCAAAGCAAATTCCTAAACCCACAGCTTTCCTAGAAAATTGACAGGTAAAACTTTCAGAAAGTTTTTCTTGCTATTCTCTTAACCAAGAATTTACACTCACTTTAGGAAATGGCAAAGGTGAACGTGACAAAAGATCAATTACAAAGCGCGCTTGTGTGCCAAGCAATCTTTCAGAGAAGTCTACTTCTGCTACTTTTGTACTGTAATCACAACAGAAACAACTATTCCAGCAGTGACACCCAAAGTGCTTCACTTACAGAAAAAGGAGATACATTTTTGCCTCCAACAAGCAGCTTAGCTGTTTTTCCACCCGACTCTTCCTTTGAAACATATCTTAAAACATGGCAATCTTGGACCTAGAGAAAAGAAAAAGTGTTCATCTGAGCATAAGCAGATACATTAAGACAACAAAACAGCAAAGTGAGTCTCTGTTTTTGTAACAGAAGATACAGTCTAAAAGTAAGACAGTGTGCTGTGTTTTTACCACTGACATTGCTTTTCCAATGAACTGAAGGCTTATTTCAGAAAAAACAAAATTAGTAGAATGTAAACTAATTTCATAAATGCTCTGGAAATTATAATAATCTTTTTCACACAAGATCTGCAAAATCCCTATTGTAAGCATGCAAAGCACACAATAAGAGCCCCCATTTTAGACTCCTGCTGCCTTGCCCTGTAAACCTGATGGCCTTCACAGCAGTGGCTCCTCTTGTGGCAGCAGCCACTCAGCAAAAGGCTTCATCACAAGAGCAGCTGCCAGAGAATATGAAGAAGCAGCTTCAGGGCTACAAGGGCACAGAAACCAAGGTGAAAGTAATCCAAACATGCCCACAGGTGGAAAAAGAAAAGGAGTGAAGTGGGATAGTTAACCCCAGCTTTGTTGCATCACCTAGGTAACACCACTCACAGCTCTGCAGCATCTGAATAGCAGAGGCAGCAGGGCAGAGCACTCCTAGAAAGTATGGATGGATAGAAACAGAATGGGCGTGGTGTACTGTACAGGAGTGAAAGAAATCTTCGCTTTCTTACAGGATTTCCCACCCTGTACAAGTAGTAAGTTTCACTTTTCCCTGAAACAGCTGCTTTACAAGCTGAATACATTATAGGGGATTAAATTCATTATGGTTTAACTCACCTTAAGTAGTGTGACAGCGTGTTTTTCTCCTGATTTGGTCCATATTGGCATCATTCCCAGTTTTACTGCAACAACACCAACTCTGATGGAATCTGTAAATCAAAACAAGAACATGGATGCACCTTTACACTTAATAATTGAAAGAGTTCAAACAATAATCTGCAAAGTCCCATGAATTCTGATCTCTCCTAAGGAGGTGAAGGAGAGAAAACATCACTAAATCCTTGCAGGTGGGCTGGGGGTTTTTAACCCCACCAGCAGTAAAGTTCTACCTGTTTCAGTTGTGTTTGATAGAAAATGCAACTACTTCTGGTTCGTTTTTCTTTTTCAAAATACAATGTCCATGTATTAGAGCTAAACTAACTATTGAAAAGTTTCCTGTAGGAGGTCCTTCCCACCCCAGTCTTTGCAATGGCAACCTGTCAAGTATGCCACACAAATTATGTGACCCTTTTGAAAGCTCAAAAACTTAATTCTGTGTTCTAGTCCATAAGAAATTCTAATCACAGACCAGAAGTGGGATGTATTATATTTCACTTTTTCTTCACCAACCAGCAATATTCACAAAAGCATTTTCAAGTTCATACACTTTATACTCTAAGGAGACTTTTTTGACAAATTCTTAATTTATTATCTTGTTGTAGAGCAGTGGGATGGGCCAAGAGCTGGACTAAAAACTATCCTTAAGAACCTAAAGGTCTTTAGAGGTTCTTAACATCTTGCAATATTTTAAATGCTTTTCAGAGAACTGATTATTACATTTACTTATCTACCAGGGGATTTATTGAGTGACTGATGTGAAAGCCCAAAGGAGAATACCTCACAAGGCACAATCCTGATGTTACTGAATTCAACAACACTACAACAGTATTAATTTCAGCATGAACAGGTATTTCAGAAGAGGTACTTTCTCACCTGGTGTCCACTTATTCAGTGGCCATGGCTCATCTTTCAGAGGGCACAGCTTGCTGGCTGTCTGAGCTTTGTACTCCTCTGCAGTTATCTTCTTGAGGAACTCCACATTCTCCTCAGAAAGATGCTCGTGCCACCATGTTGAACTGTTGATGTGTCTGACTACAAAGCCCAGCTGACCCCTTTCCAGAGGTGGGAAAAGGTTTTGAGTGTCTTATCAGTACAAAAAATGTCTCATAATATTTTACATCAAATTTATAAAACACCTAATTATCTGCCATTTGACTAAGTATTCTGAATTATACCAAAGGGGAGCAAGCACCAACCAATCAACCAACCAACCAACCATTCCTTTTAAGATAAAAAGCCCCAGCTAGATCCATGAACAAAGAGATTACAGTAGTTACTGTTTACCTTAAATTTAGCAAGACTTTTTAAAACAAACTCCTGTGGCATCCTTCTATCCAAGATGGGATGTTATGGCATGGATGGGTGGGCCATCAGCAGAGCAAAAACCTGGCTGGATGATCAGCTGAAGGAGTCACAGCTGATGGTTTGGACTCTACTAGGAGGCCAGTTACAAGCAGAGCTCCCCAAGAGTCTGTTCAGGAACTTGTCCTGTTCAATATCTTTTTCACTGGCCTCTGACAGGGGATGAGTGCACTGTTCTTATGTTTGAAGGGAGCAGTGGATGATGCCCAAGGGTGTCCCTCTGCCAGCCAGAGGGACAAGCCAACAAGGAACCCAGTGAAATCCATAAAGCAGAAATGCACAGTCCCATCCACAAGTGGCAGGGAATAATTTGTGAGAAAGCTACTGACAAGGCTGAGGCAGGCCATGTCACAAGGTGCACACCAGGAGAGTGAGAGAAGTGCTATAAACTGAAAAGGAGGATTCAGATTTGACCTAAGGGAAAAAATGTTCAGCCTGAAGACAATCTAACACTGGCACTGGGGTCTAGAGGGACTGTGCAGATTCAGTCCTTAGAGGCTTTCAAGACCCCAAACCACAAAGCCCTGAGCAACGTGGTCTGACCTCAGGGCTGGTCACACTGTGGGAAAGAACTGAGACCTCAGCTTAGAACTTGGCTCCTCAGCTCCCTTCCAGCCCCAACAACTCTCTGATTCTACAAACACTGCAGAACAGCTCAGTGTCCTGCCATAATGTCATGAGGGCTGAAAAAGGCTTGATTGCTCCCTAATCCTCTGCAACGTCAACAAAAGAGTATTCAATAGTACAGGCAGTGCATGCACAAAGGAGTATTCAGTAGTACAGGCAGTACATGCACGTGGCCAGCGGGCCAAGGTGACCCAAGCACGGCAGGTCACTCGCTCACTTTGCTGCAAAGACACTTTGGACGCGAACACGCCTGTCCTGCCACAACTCCCACGCAGGCTGGGGTTATTTCTAAGGCTGGAATGCCGCGGCAGTAACCCTGGCACCCCGAACAAAGCTTCCAGGGCTGCCAGAGGCTGCACACGGAGGCCTCTCTCTCCAAAGGGCGGCGCCAGGGCCGAGGGAAAAGGGCGGCTCAGTGCCCCTCACCTTCCTGCACCTGAAGGAGGAACTTACAGGAAAGGACGAGGCAAAATTACTTACAAGAGCCTGTAGAGACAGGACGAGGGGGAGTGGGTGCGAACTGAAAGACAGTAGGCTTAGGCTAGATATAAGAAATGAATTCTTTGCTGTGAGGGTGGTGAGGCACTGGAACTGCTGCCCAGAGAAGCTGTGGATGCTTGGCAGCGCTCAAGGCCACGCGGGATGGAGCTGAGTAACCTGGTCTAGGTGCAGATGTCCCCTCCCCACAGCACGGGTTGGAACTAGATTGCCTTCAAGATCCCCTCCAACCCAGGCCATTCTACCATTCTACGACCTCGGGGCTGCGACAGGGGCGGAACCACGCTCTGGTCCCCGCTGTTCCTGCCGCTGCTTCTTTCCCTCCCGTCCCCCGGAGCAGCCGCTTCCCCTCCCAGCCGTAGCGCTACCTGTGTCCGGGAGCGGGAGCCGGCGCCGCCGCCGCCGCCCAGAGGCGCCCGCCGAGCCGGGCCAGCCGCCCCCAGCCCGCCATGCCGCCACCCCGGCGGAGCCGCCGCCGCCTTCCGGCCCCGCCGCGTCCGCCGCTGGAAACCTTCCGTGCTGCCCCGGACACAGAGTTCCGCCCCGCGGGCGGCGAGCTCCAGAGTGACAAAAAACCTCCCGAATCGCCCCAAAATCGTGGGCGTGGGTTGCAGCACCCGTGACCGATGGAGCTGCTCTGAACACCTCACCCAAGAGCGAAGACGTGCAGAAATAGCCACGGGCCCCTTTCCCCCCGCAGCCCTTCCATCCCTGCCATGGCTCCTCTGCCTACGTTGCAGGCGCAAGGCAGTGAAATCCTGGGATTTCAGACACACACGCGAGTCTAAAACGGGAAAATGGCAGCGGCTGGTGGGATATATGCTGGGAAACACCCCTTAGGCACAGCGGGTTGCGGGACAATGGGGTCAAAACCTTCCTGCAGGCGTTGAGCAGGTGCTCTCAGGGTGCGGGGGTGTCTGGGAAGAAGCGACTCTGCTGTGCCAAACTGCCTCGGGGTGCGGGGCTTAACCACGTCAGGGCTTTGCTTCCATGGAAATGAGCGACAGGGCCAGAGGAAAAGGTCTCAAGTCCTGCCAGAGGCAGTTTAGATCGGATACTGGGGAAATTTCTTCTTGGAAAGGGTGGTTAAGCATTGGAACAGGCTGCCCAGGGAAAGTAGGACCACCCCGTGTGAAAAAAAATTGCCTATTTTATGATTGGCTTTTCGCAAATATTAAAATGAAAATTATATGTGTTGTGTTAGAAAGTAATGCTGTATTAATTCTCTTAAGTAGTGTGTTAAATATAGTTTTAGGTTATAAAAAGATGTTAAAATAGAAACTATGCTATGTAGGATACTTTTTTTAAAGAAAGGACTCAGTGAGATAGCAGCCACAGGACACCTAAATCTTTCAGAGAAAGGGAATTTATTGCTCCATTATCAGAAGAAACAGACTTCTTCCCACCTCGAAGGTGCTGTTAGGATTCAGAGGAAGAAGCTGACGGTGACCAGACAGAATCCTGTCTTTGAATGGAATTTATACATCATGTATGAAGTGTATGAATATGCAACAGGCTACTGTTTTTAAGGGTTAATCCTTCGTTAACGTGTGTCCTTTTTCGGGCTCGTGCTGCCCAGAAAAAGGTACCTGGACATCCGTAACTCTTTGTTTCTATTGTCTCATATTGTCCTAATTCAAATTGTCCAAATTATTATTACTCTAATTGTATTGCTATTTTTATAACCATTTTATTACTATTAAACTTTTAAAATTTTAAAAACAAGTGACTGGTGTTTTTCACACCTGGGAGTGTTCAAAAAAACATGTAGGTGTGGCACTTATGGACAGGTGTGATGCCCTGGCAAGGCTGGGATAAGGGGTGGAATTGATGATCCTAGAGGCCTTTCCCACCCTGAATGATGCCATCACTCTGTGACTGTGTGCTCCGAGCCTGTGGCTAGGATGTGTGACAGCAATTGAGCAGCAGCGTTTATGGGAAGTGTATTTAATAGTGTAGCCAGGGAAAGTTCCTGGTAAAATTAAAATGGGTGGGTCAGGCAGAGGGTTCTGGGCAGTCTGACAAAGGGATGGTACCTGTGACACTCTGGCTTTGGTGTGGTCTGGCTTTCATCAGTATTCAGGATTGATGCCCTTTTTTTTTCCTTCTCTGGGCAGGGACCCAGCACAGCTAAGAGTGCACTAGTTAGGATAGCAAAGGTGTATGAACCCAAGATTCCTTTCTGGTTTCAGCAGAAATTTATAAAGACACATGAGCTGTCAGCATGGTCAACTGGAATCTGTCCTTGTTTCTCTTTAGCCCACTACTCCATCTTCTCCCCCACTTTGTTATGTGCGTGTGGGGGTGTTGCACATGAGGCTTGTAACTGGTATTTCGGTGTTCACACCCAAAACTGTGATCCAGAAACTTACCAGTAGCTTTCACACGCATTCCTTGTCCTGAATTTACTTCTTGTCCTTTTAAGAAGTAGCCACATAGTGTGTCCAGAAATGCATCTCCCAACTTTACCGTCCTACTGACATTCCCTGTCTGAAGCTGGGTAGTCATCTCCACTGTCACAGTGATCACTACATCTTTTTGCTCTCTCCCTGGCATCAAGAACAGCATCAGGGATGCTGCTAAATTTCATACGGATGTATTTTCTAATGGGGTCAATTGGTAGCTTATGCTGCTGCTCTGAGAGAGCTTTATATGAGGAGAAATAAAGGGGTCTAAAAATAATAAAGGTGTTATCTCCCAATTTCTGAGCACTGTGGCAACCCTACAGTGGTGCTAACCCAACCAAAAATCCCCAGGAAGTAGCAAAATTCTATTTCCCCCCATTTTAGAGATCTGCAATCAAGGCGCATTGCAAGATCAAGTAACTTGCCAAACCATGGCAGATGTTCCCAGCCAGAAAAGAGGGCTCCCTTGATCCTAGAGAGCCTTGTTGCCACAGCATGATGCTTTTCTCATGTAGCATCCTGTACAGCTGAGGTGACGCAGGATTTCCTGCACCAGTAACATGGAAGTAATACATGGGGGCACAGATTTCTGAGAGAAAAGTTTCAGTTCTGTACTTTTCCCCTTATTGTCATGATGCAAAATCAACCTTGATGTTGTTTTGTTGTTGTTTTTTTTTTTTTTAGTTGCGTGCAGCTTATCATGGTGCTAAAGAGGCATGAACTCATCAGGTTTGTGTGTGTAAGGAGGAGTGAGTGTAGCAAGGTGGCTGAAGCTCTGAGTGCAATCAGATGGCAAACTGCCTGCTCTAATCAGTGGGACAAGAATTCAAGTGCTTGCTGAACACAGCAGTAAAAGGCTTTCTGCACAGCAGTGGAAATGGCTGCTGCTTTTTTTGGAGAAAAGGAAGAGCACCCATTACAAAAAGCTTTCCCAACAGTCTGCCACCTTGGGTAGTCCTTGGAACTTTAGGAAGAGGAAACACCACTTTTGAACTGTCAGCCTTCACAGGAGAGGTCACCTGGGTTTCACCTGATCAGTTTGGAGGATCTCTCCAGCTTTGCAATGAAATTAGAAAAAACAAAAAAGAGGGGGTGGGAGTGCAGCCACTGATGGTTTGCAGTGAGCGCTGCAAGCAAACATGCAGCTGGACTGCATTCATATATCATTCATATAGCTCTGTAATTGCTGAAATTGTCTCTGCTATAGTGCAGCTCCTCAGCTCAGGACTGCAGGTACAAATAAGACCTCTGTGTGAAGGACAGGAGGTGCTATAAAGTCTATTTTTCTTGTGGCAAAAATGGCACTTTCAGTGAATAAAAAAAAACCAACCAAAACATGAGAAGTGTAAACTTATCCTAGGAATCTTTCAGCTCATCCTCCCCAAAAAACACCCCACAAACAAACAAACAACAACAAAAAAAAACCCAACAAAAACCCACAACCAACCAAAAACAAACAAACAAAAAGTAGAACACTACATTGTTCATCATGGTAAAATCTTTGTATGGAGAGGTTTTATCTTAGGGTAATAAGCACTTAGCAGTGTACTAGTGCTTTTCTCAAATCTCTTGCAGACTTAGTTTCTCCTACAAACTAAAAATGCAACTCATCCCAGTATCTGGCTCAAGAATTATTGATATTATTGTAGTTTGGGGTAATAGGAGATTTTTGTGACTTTTTTTGTGGTTTTGAATTGGATTTGAGATAAAAAGGAAGGCAGGGTTGTACTTGGCAGGGAATATATTTTAGATCATTGGTTATCTCAGAAGGACAAGATGTAATTTATATTAAAGCGGTTTTCAGAATTTAAAATGATCCATCAAAAGGCAGCTGAAGTTAAAATTTGCATAAAAAATCTGCAGGAGAAATAGATGGCAGTTCAGCCTAAAGGCAGAATGGGCTTGTGAAAACCTTAAGTAGATCAAACAGGAAAAAAAAAGTTCAATTTCAGAGATATATTCATATATTTAATGAGGTTACCCTGCACAAAGTCCACAGTATTTTATTGCAGAGAGTTGCTTGGAGCAATGAAAGCAACATTCAATGCCTCATTAGAAAGCCTTTTCCATATGGCCAGTTTTGTCTTCTGTGCATCCTACACCAACTCACCACACTGTTACGTGTTTGTCTTACATGCTGAGATCTGTACATTCTGAAGGAGATTTCCAATTGATTTTTCAATACCATTAAGGTATCTTTCCAAATACTTGAGGGCTGCTACAGAATTGCTGACTTATATCAACCACTGATAATGATTTTTTTTTAAAGTAAGAGCATTTATAATCTGGATTGTGTGAAGTTAACAGAAAGATCTGCAGCAGCTGGGGTTCTAAAGACACTTATATAGACCATGTACACACATGAAAATGACTGATGGTTTATCTAGCTCAGCATACAATAGCCTGTTGATCTCTGCATTTTACCTGATGCCACATTATAGAAGCACCTCGTAACATCTCTGGAAATGAAGAGCTTTAACTGCCCAATTCTATGTAACTATAAACACTTCAAAAATTAGTTTAGTCAAAGATCACATGCACCAGAAGGACAATTTATCTGATTCTAAATTTTTCTTGCTGAAACCTTTCTTTTATTGAGTCTGAGAAATTATAAAGAAAAGGCTGAACTTCTCCTCAACTGTACATGACATCCCTTAATGCAGGTCCCAGGGTGATGTAATACTCTTTACATGGTGAGAACACCACCATGCCTCTGAGGAAGGATCTCAAATCACTTTTCAAGTATTAAAGTCCCCCAGTACTATTGCAAGATATTTATGATACATAACAGTGACCTTCATTTTACAGAGGAGGAATGTGAGGTGCGGAGAATTTAAAAATCTTGGGCAAAAACCAAAATGAGATACTGGAGGAGGAAAGAACACGGAGTCATTGATTTTTCAGTCCTGTGCTTTAACAGCTAGTAAATGCTCCTCCTGAGAATAGGAAAGGAAAGAAAATAGGGGAGAAGTGGGAGTAAGAAACTAGAGGTGTTGGATGTAAGAATTAAGAGTCATTGGCAGAATGGTCTATGACACGTAAGGGGAGATCACAGCAGCTT